AATTCAAGTAAGTGGAGCTGCTATCTGCTTAATGATAAAGACTGGGGAGAGATGCTATCACTGCAACTCTGAGCACTCTGCCACAAAATGTCATTGCTACACACACACACACACACACACACACACACACACACACACACACACACACACACACACACACACACACACACACACACACACACACACACACACACACACACACACACACACACACACACACACACACACACACACACACACACACACACACACACACACACACACACACACACACACACACACACACACACACACACACACACCAAAAAGTTATAGTAGAAGTATAAATTACAGCAGCAAAAATGTAATCATCGAACAATTTAAAGGAAAAAAATCATTAAAACTTTTGAAGTCCTGCTCTTGTCATTTAATTGTCTCCACCAGATAACAGACAGGGAAGGGGACCAATTAGATTATCCCGCCTCAGATCAGTCCCTCCCGTCATCTCCTCTGTGTGCCCTTCTCATTTTCTTCACTCACATCTGCCTCATTCTCACTCTCTACATCCATCTGCTTTTCCTTCTCCTTGTCGTGTCCCAACAGGGATCTATTTGGGTGGGCAGTAAGGATGTAATTATCAGTCGATTAACTGATGATGACACCTGATCAGACACTAATTAATGAGGGACGCACACATGCAAGCCACACACTAAGGGCCCACTCCTTGCTGCAGCTCTATTCAAAATGTAAAAAAATGACATAGATATATATATAAACACGTGTTTATATATATCTATGATTTAACATGCATTTAAACAGTCCTTCGGCGCCACTCGATGACGTAGTATACTTGAAATAGTGGCTCTGCAGCAGGTTTACTCGACAGAAACGGCTACACGCACGCACGCACGCACGCGCACACACACACACACACACACACACACACACACACACACACACACACACACACACACACACACACACACACACACACACACACACACACACAGTATGTACGAACACACACACTCTCAGTGGGGTACACCCTGTGAGAGGGGGCAGGCAGTGTGAGATAAACTGATCACACAGCAATACAATATGCTGAAAGTGATTATGTGTGTGTGCGTGTTTGTGAGAGATAGTGAGAAAAAGAGAGAGATGATGATGTGAACAGCAGTCAGGAAGTAGATATTAACTTACACTAGAGAAAAGAAAGAGGAAACATATTTTCCACTGTAGAGAATCATCTGGGACAGTAGCCCACTGCAATAGATGCAGAGTCTGTGTCAGTTTTTCTCGTATGTAGGCTATTGGTAAAGGGTTAAACACTGATTTACTATAAACTTTTAGGTTCTCTGTTCTACAATAAATGCCAAGTTTAGAGATAATGGGGAAGTTATAGTTTCATCCAAGTAATGAAATGCTCTAAATTAAACCACAGTGTGATTTCCCATAAGGCAAAGCTGCATCTGATACAAAGTGACTTCAGCGCTGATGAATTTAAAGAACACCTCCTTGGGCATTAATTCTGTATTCACAGAACACGGCTCCTTAATATTTGCAGACATATCTTGTGTTGTTGTTTAATCAGAGCATTTGTATAAAGATTGCTTTAAGGGCACTACAATTATTTTAAAAAGCTTATTTATATAGTACTTATCCAAACAAATATTTTAATGTGCTTGGCTTTGAAAAAAGTAAAACATATAGGACTAAAACCAGGAAATTGCAATATCAATAAAGCACATACAAATGTAGAGTTTATCAGACAATATTAGGAACCAGGTAAGTTATACAAAATAAAAATAAAAATGATTGAAAGACCATCTGATACAAATAATTTCCAGGTCAATGTGAAGGTTCAGCATGATTACATGAGCAGCACGCTCCTGTCCGACTGGCTGCACAGATAGCAGGTGCTGGGGACACAGGCTATAGAGGTACCGTACAAATAAATCAACATTAGGAGTTTAATATTATCCTTTTTTACAATAATAGAAAATAGTGTAAAGGATTACTATTTCATTTCGACAGTTGCACTACACTTACAAGTCTCGGCAACATTTTGTTCTATTTCTGTTAGCATCAGGCAGTTTAGCTTGGTGTGCACACTAGAGGTTTGTAGTTTCATGTAGCCTGCGCAGAAAGAGGAGAAGAGCTTGTGGTAAACCTTTATTTGTTATGTACTGTTAAGATAATGAAACAACATGATACTTATAAGTAGTTAATATGTTTGTTGTATCAGTGTTTGCTTTTGGAACGCTGCATGGTCCTGGTTATTCCCCTGGGCTAAGCTAGCCCCTGATAGCTAAACAGTTGCTAGCTAGCCTGCTTAGTTTTCTCAGTTGTGGTTTTTAACAATACCTAAATATGTATAGTTACTCATGCTGTACCTAAGTGCAGTTTGGTTTTTGCACTTGCTTATTTTTACTTTACTTCATATTACTACATTTTAGAGAGAAATATTTTAAACCTGCGTCACGACTCACATAATTGACAGCTAACATTGCTGGTTACTTTATTATAATATTTATCTGACCAATAGAAGCCTGTATTCAATAATTAATATACCGTATTCTAAAGTCTTTGTAAGGACATTTCTACAACATTTTACAGTACAAATTCACAGGTGTTGATAATAAAATGAATGATGTCTCAGTTGAATGCATAGCTGCTTTGGCTTCAGGGTTCTCCTTTGCTGGTCACATTTTCATGGCGCCATTAATGTTATTACTAGTAAGTTAACACATGTGCCCTTCCTGCCATAATTGGTTCAAATGTCAGCTGTTAACAAGGCTTGTATAAGCACCTCTGCTGTCTTAGTTGTACATGTTGCTGATACAATATCTGGTTTTATTATAGCAACAGTTTTGATGCAGAACTGTTAATAATGTAAATAGGAGTACTGCTTCTATTATGCACATTAAAAGAGCAGGGCTAAGCAAAGTATGTATAGGATGCATTGAAGGATTGCAGGCTAGACAGTGCTGTGTTAACTTATACACATTTGCTGAGCCACTAAGTTGCTGAGGAACTGGGTTTTTGATTTAAATCACATATACTTTTTGAAAATACATGTCACCTTTATGTGCCTGTCAACACTCAGCATGTGAAGGTAGATGCCTTTGGGTCCTTTGTGCTTGGGATATGGTTATTGCTTCTCAGGATCTGATGTAATGCTCCCTAAGGCCTGTTATTTTATATGTAGAAATGTACAGTATAGCTGTGAAGTGAAAGGAATGGGATTTCAACGGATATTGTAACCGCCCTGTAATCAAACCAAGCATACAGGATAAGTGTTTCCACCTCCCTGATACCTCTCCACACGTCCTCTTTCTCTCCCTCCTTATCTCTGTTGTGACACCACAGGTTGGATTAATTTAACAGGGGTTCTTAAAGTTTTGCATTCGTTTGATCCCAAAAGTAGCTTTGCATTTATGTGATTTGGGAATTTGACTTTGGGAATTAGGTCAAATGAGACAGAATTCCACATAGCAATAACAGTGTTCACTTCACATTGAACCAATATTAAGGTTTTATTAGTGTATGTAACTCAATACATTATTTAAAACTGAACCAAGTGATTTAACCCCAAGTGTCAACTAGAACATATTAAATTACTGTGACTTATTAGATTCAGAAATATATGTATATATGGTTTCCATAAAGAAATGCTGTCCTTTTCTATTCTCAGGAACATTTCCATTAATGTTTGTTTAAACAACAAATGTGGGCACAAATGTGTGTTGTCTTAAACCTGAAAAGGGTTCATAGTGTCAGAGTGTGTAATCCACTACATGGTGAGAGAATGTGCAGAATCCTTTTTCAGATGTCAGAGGGAAGGAGGGGCTGGGCGGATATTATAACTGTCTTTAATCTGGCTAAGCATACAGTATGGATAATCCGCTCTCCCTTACTTTTACTTACTTAGTCTTATTCCTACAATTTGTCTGGGCAGCACGACTATGTAATCTCACTGAGATTATTGTAATGCTGTCTCTCTTGTCTCTACCATTCTCTACCATTTTTGTTTTGTTGTTTTTATTTCACTGCAGTTATTTGTTGTCTGCAATATTGTGTTTTTTTATTCTCTGCACTTTCCCCAACTGAGTAAATGTACAGGATGACTCTTGGACCCCTGCCATTTTACAATATTAGTACCATACCCGGAGGGAAATGTAGCAGTACAGATATTCAATTTTAAAATCTAAACTTCAAAACATTGATAAAGAGTTGTGAGAATGAATGATCATTATGTAAAGTTGTAAAGCTGGTCTGATGAGAGGTGTTCAGTGTGTGTTGTTGACAAAAAGTGAATGGACTGTATAACCTACACAATATGTTGAGGAAATAAACAGTACACAGTTAGCTGTTGTACTTGCTTGACGGGAGTATATTAGTCACCGTCTATTCTATTCGACAGAGAGAGACTTCACTGTCTGAAAATACACAGGGCTCACTAACCGATGTGTCAACAATTCAAACGTTCCTGAAGCCTCCAAAGTAAACTGCTAAACTGTACAAAAACTGAAACGCTGAGAGACGGTGATTTAGGAGCTCTCTGACAGTTGTTTGTGTTAGTAGAACTACCAGAGTGTAGCAATACTCAGTTACAAGTAAAAGTTAGTAAAATGTTACTGAAGTAATTTGGTCCATTTCAGAATGGGCCAAATCGGTAATGGTGCAGCCAATTTGAATTCCTTTGTACACTGACTGCAGGATATACTTCAGGTGTAACTAGGTCTTATTTAAGTGTTGTTTTATTTCACATTATTAATCAAAATCTGCAAAGTAACTAAATACATTAAATAAATATATTTGAGTGAAAGTACATGATTTACCCCTGAATTTTAGTGGGGTAAAAGTGCAAAAAAGAAAAAAGTGTAAATACTCAACTAAAGTACAAGTCCCTAAACATTGTACGTAAGTACAGTACTTGAGTAAATGTACTAAGTTACTTTACACCGCTGGTTGTTTGCTAATTTTCTTTCTCCTCTCTTCTTTTCCCCTCTCCACTCCAGGCTCCGACTACTCTCCCCCTCCCCCCCTTCCTCCCCCTGTACTGACCAACGAGCACAGTGGCGGTGGCAGCCACAGTGACCATGGTGGAGGAGGGGGCGGGGTCAACCATGGGGTGGGTGTGGTGGGCGTGGTGGGCCTGGCCCCGGAGCACATGGCCACACCGGGGGCGGCCCTGAGCTGGCAGGCGGCTATCGACGCAGCGCGGCAGGCGAAGATAATGGGCAACACTTCGTCAAGTGTAGGGGCGGTGCCCGTGTCGGGAGGGGGCGGGCCCATCTCCACGGCCAGCTCCACCCAACGGAAGAGACAACACTATAGCTCCAAGCCCAAGAAACAGACTACAACGACAGCCACAAGGCCGCCACGGGCCCTGCTCTGTCTCACACTCAAGAACCCCATCCGCAGGGCCTGCATCAGCATCGTAGAGTGGAAGTATCCTTTAACAAACCATAAGGGGAGGCTGGTCTTTATAAGGTTTGCCAGGTGGAATAACATGCCGCATGTGTCACTTTCAAGAGACATTTCCTGTTTTTAAATGTTGACACACTGAAAAAAATGTAAATGTATTTCAGTATGTCAACAGATTTCACGTTACTGTATTAGGTTAGTTGAAAGCAATAATAACAAGTTTTAATAATAGATATTATGTTCATCTTAATATTATTGCTTTCAACAAACCTAAAACAGTTATGTGAAATCTGTTTAATAGAAGTCAATGTGTCAGTTTTCAGTGCACCTGACATTGTTAAGGAATTCACAATACTTACAAAATGACAACATTTAAAGTGTAGAAGTGCAAAAAGTTATTTAAAAAAACAAAAACATCCTCGATGCAACTGAATCAGTCAGTCAATCTAGAATCAATAACTTGCAAAAGTTTTAGTGCTGATGCTACAAACAGAGCAGATTAAGGTGTACATTTCCATGCAAATCTCACATAAATACTGGTATAGTGTCTGTGCTGCGACCACATTTCATCCTTCCAGTTTTGAATGGATTGATTGATGCTGGATGGAAATATGCAGGTAGAAAAAACCATGGCAATGAGGAGAGAGAGGGGGACATAAAGGATAGAGGACCTAAACGTGTTAGGAATTCATCACACAGCCTCTTTTGTTTAGTTCCCTCTCCCTTCTTCTCTTTCTTTCTTAATCCAGCTCTCTCCTTTCCTGTGTCACACTGAGTGTTATTCACTCACATGGCCTAATCCCTTTCCCCTTCCTCTGCCTGTCCTTCTCCTTCTCTCGCTTTTTCTGCTCTCTCTTTCATCTCACATTCTTTTCTCAAAGGAGGATAAAACAAATTGTGTCATTTTCATCCCTCCTTCACACCCCTCCGAGCATATATCTTTCTTCCAGCTCTGCCTAACTGCATTCATCCTCTCTCCCCCAGGTACACACATGCCTCTGTTCCTGCTTTGCTCCCTCCACCCTCCACCTCCACATCTCTCTAACCGTTTATTATCCGTCTCTGCCTGTCCCTGTCCCTGTCCATTCAAATCCCTTTATTCCTGCTGTTCTTCCACACATCTCTCCTTTCTACCCTTACCCCCCCCCCCCCCCCTCATTTTTAAGCCTCTGAACATAATGACAGCGACAGAAATGGTCAGAGTCACAGCAAAAGTGATTTATAATAGGAGAGGGTCCACAGGAGCATCGACTCAGCGAGAGCAGAGTCACACATGGACCTGAGAGGGAGAGGAGGGGAGGAAGAGGAGGGGTTGGGGGAAATGAGAAGGGCAGGGTTCTGGGCAGGATATGGATGTCAACAGGAGAGATGATGGAGCGGATTAGCTGGGGAGGGGGGACTGAGGGAAGAGAGGATGGGAAAGGTAAACAAGAAAAATAACAGAGAAGTAGGGGGGCAGATATTAAGTGAGGGGTAGGAGAAGGGAGAGGAGGGGGATAATGAGGGAGGAAAAGAGGAGTGGAAGATGAATTGAATTGATGAAAAAGACGAGTAAGTACTATTCATGTATGTTGGAAGAAAGTTGCATTAGGCGATTACCACATTAGAATAAATCAGAATTGTAGGCTTTAATGAAAAAATACTCTTGGTCAAAATCTTGATCGTATCATAACCTTCAGGACTGTTTCGTAGTATTCAAAGTATGGTTTAATCACTTTGAATCACAAACAATACCCGGAAATCTAATTGGCTTTAAAGGATTTTTTTTGATTGAAGAGGCTTCTTGTGGATTTTCTTTGTTTTCTGCCATCAACATACCCATAGCTGTAGTTATTTAAATGTGTATATCTAGTGATTACTTTTGTTATAATTCTGGATGACATTCTTATGAACCTGTAAATGATATTATATTATATCAAATAACCATAAAATGGCAATTTGATTTCATTAGGTCTGTTTTGTTTTGATGGTTTTGCTCAAATTAATCAGAAAGACCAAGCTTCATTTTGAGCCTTTTAAAAATGTTTTCATAAAAACAAGTCTAAATGTCCCATAGGAACAGCCCTGCCCTTTAATCCCGCTCTGTGTGGTAAAACAAGGGATGAAGACAAATTGTCTTGCTGATCACCTTGAGTATTTATAGTAATTATTCAAAGTCATAATGCAATAATAGGTCTCAAACCATCCCAGGTAGCTGTGCTTATGGTGTTGAAAACAATGAAAATGAATGGGAGAAAGCATGCATAAACCCTCAGGGTCAATGGAACTCTCTCATCGAATGACTGATCGGTGTTCAGATCATTACCCACAATTCCCAGCATCATTCATTTAAACAGCTCTGAAAGGAGGGAAGGATGAGAAAGCCAGGGTTACAGAGAGAGAAAGGTGAGGGAATGAGATGAGTTAGGGAAAGATAAAGACATTAAAATAAGCTTTTGGGGAAAGACCAGAATGAAGAAGATGTAACAGGATGGAGTCATAACGAACTTGGAAGAAGCAGAACAGTAGCAAAAATGCAGTAAAATGTGTCTGTCAGCATTTCTTTCTGCCTGCTTTTGTATCCAAACACTCTACTTTGGAATATCTTTCATCACGGCAATGCATTTGAACATTAGTGTCTGGGTGACTGTTCTGTCTGTCTGTGTGTGTGTGTGTGTGTGTGTGTGTGTGTGTGTGTGCGTGTGCGTGGGTAGTTAGGTATTCATGTGTTGCTTTTATTCTATAGGCTTTGTGTGTTTGCCCCTGCGTGTGTCCTGTATTCTGTGAGTACCGCTGTCTCTAGAGATAGCAGATCCTAAATCTTCCACTCTTCCTCCTCTGTTACCATGACAACAGCTACTGCTCTCAACAGGTCAATGGGGCCTGTCTGAGCTCACACACACATGCATGCAAAGACACACTTATATTAGAGAACACACGCATAAACACTGTTGAAGAGAGCACGCACATGCTTGCACACAGATGATAAAAGGACTAAAACACACACACACACACACACACACACACACACACACACACACACACACACACACACGCACACACACACACACACACACACACACACACACACACACACACACACGTCACACACACACGTCACACACACAGATGCAGCACTCTCACATGCTGTGTAATTATAGCATTTAAGCATTACCTGCACACCGCAAGGTCAGCCTGAGAGACAAGGAGAGAGCGGGGCTAATAACCATGTTCTCTATATCAAATCCAACTAAGTGGTCATTTTGAAAAGGTGTCATTGAGTGCATTTACACACACGCACACACACACAAACACACACACGCACGCACGCACGCATGCACACGCACACACACACACAGTCACATTGGGGGTTACACTATTTGTATGCATTTTCAGCTCAATCAGGCAAACAGATAAATATTCTCAGCTTAATAGAGCATCTGAGCTGAGTTGAGCTGGCTCTCCCAGATAAAATCCGTAAATGACTAGTTCTTGTTTGGATTTGTCGGATAAGAGGTTTTGTGAGCTGCATGTTGTGTTTATGTGAGGAAAATGCTGAGTATTTCAGAAAATAACAGCATCCCTCTTTGTATGTGGATGCAATCCCAGTGTGATCAGTTGTGGAATAGCATATACAGCTAGCTTGTTAAAACTCTGAATGTGTACATTGAATCGCCGTGGTGGTTATTGCTGTTTTTAATAGAGCTGTCCAAGTCAATCCCTCCCAGATTAGCTTTGGGCATGAATATTTATGTTCTGTTTGAAATGAATACTGCTTTTGTTGGGCTGTTTAATTTGCATTATTAATAGACTATGTACTTGTATTGATCCTTCACTTAGACCCTCTCCTCCTGATTTTTCCCAAGTGTTGTTTTGCTCTCAGCAGCACAGCAGACAGTAGATGTATTATCATGTTGATGGTAGCAGACCTCAAGGCTTTTTTATATGATGGGTCAGGAACCCCAAATGAGTTACAGGCGTGTTTTCCTGCTGGTCACCGCATGTCCAGTGTGTGTTTTAATGAGCCCTCGGTACAAGGGTGAGTGATTATCTTTGATGCATTTTAGTCCCAGGCTGAATGATCTTGTGGCTGATGCTGTTCAAGGGTCAGTCCTTGATCCAAACATAAACTTATACGGTAAGACTGTAAAGTGGAATATTTCCCCAACTGAAGGAACTTTACTCAAGTCTTCAAGGCCTTATAGAGAAGATATCTTGTAATGTTTTACTTTAGACAGAGTTATATAATAGATACATGGTAATGCAGTTGAAAATACGTCTTCTTGTCTTCTGGATTTGACTTTTTGACAGCGCAACTTATCAGAACAATTATTTTTACGGCATATACAACAAGATCTGCAGTATTAGAATAATTTGACTTGCAGCCAGGAGGAAAGGAAGGAAGGAAAGAATAGAAAGGAAAGCAGAACGAGAGCAAAAGGAGGTGACAGCAGTGGCAGTTAGTAATTGTGTTGATGAAAACCAGACCTCCTTTATCTCTCCTTCACATTCCCTCCCTCACTCTCCTTCCTCTCTATTCTCTCTCACTTTGCATCTCTCTCTCTGAGGCCAAGAATAATGAGGTCACTCCCCTCTCAAGGACCGTTCCAAATAAAAAACCCTGTGTGTCTCCTCTCTCTCATTCCATCTCACTCTCACTCTTTCTCTGTCCACATCCCATCATCCACGCGACAGGCTTGCTCCACGGCGTGCCCATATAAGGGCATGCACTGTCTCTCTAACCACCCTTGCACACACAGAGGTTCCTAAGTGACCCAATATGTCTTATTGTGAACGCAAAGGCAAACTGGACAGCTTTGATCTGTCTCACTGTGTACACTGCTTTTGCACTCTGATATGTGCCTATATATACCTCTGCTTAGGTAAGGATGTTTAAACATACCTCTTAGTTGAAATAACATGCCTGATTTGAACTTGTTTTGTGTTCAATAGGGCTAGAGGTCAAAGTCTGTTTTGTACTGCATAGGTTTTTTCATGGATCATCGAACAACTGGCTGAACCTGGGCCTATTTTTATTACAGGAACCAATTATGTTTTAAACATACGTTTGAAGTACATGGATGCACAATTCAGTATATGCTCCAGTCAGCTGTGTGCTAATTAAGGCTTTGTGGCAAATAATGGTGTAACATTTTTTGTATTCTAAAAAGTCATATCAACTGATAGCAGTTATATACAAAAATCAAAGGCAAAATAAACACCGTACAAAAGTTTTTAGTAATTCTCATTTCTCAGTGACATCGAAAATAATTAGTTTGAGTTATGGAAAAAAAAAAAAAAAAAAATTTGGGAAGTTGAAACAATTTAGAAAGTAGATTATTCCTACTGTGAAAATGTCTCTTTGCTTGTGTTTTGTGTTCTCTGTTCCGGTGTGTATGTTCCTTAACCCTCCTCTCAGACCATTTGAAATCATCATCCTGATGACCATTTTCGCCAATTGTGTGGCCTTAGCTGTCTACATCCCCTTTCCCGAGGATGACTCAAACGCCACCAACTCCAACCTGGTGAGTAATCCACGATATTTAAACTGCTTTAAAGTAATATACACTCACATGCTGTGAAGTCCACTAGCTGGTTCAAATACCTGCTTGGCTCATTGGTTTTTTTCCCCCATTCCTGCAAGACTTGGTTTTTGTTCTTGTGGTCGGACACCTGCGTTTCCAAGGTGAATGCTTTGTCTTGACTCACATTTGATTTGGTGTGTGATGATTTATGAAACAATTCTTCAGAAGATTTTTCTCTTAATTAGCATTACTGAGCAGCATTGTCATTCACACATATCTAGCTGATTCCACTGCCTGTGTGATTTCCTGCCACGTACTGTATATACGAGGCAGGAGAGGGGGAGGATGTATGACTCTGTGACTGGTTCATGGAGGTGAAAGACAAGATGTGTGAAGGAAAGGAGAGGCATTGAAAGAAAGAAAGATGGGAGAAGGACAGAATAGACATTTTTTTATCAAGCAGGGATTAAAGAAGAATGTATTTCTTTAAATAATCTCTTGATGAGATTTTTTTGGCTCTTTCATTGGTTGTTTAAATATAACAGACTTGTTGATTATGATGTTCCACTTTGAAGCTTGAATAAAATGAAGGGTTTGTTTATTTTGACTGAAGACTATTGAATTGAATCAAATAAAGCTATTTTAGTTGATTTTATCAAAGGCTAAGCATCCTGTGGGAAACTTTTTTGGCTAAGAAAATAGTCGTTTGGTTAGGGAAAGATTTTGCGGTTGCCAAATTGTCATCTAGTGTTATGCACTGAATGTGGAATTATTTTATATTCTTTTAAGGTAAAGAAAAAATCATCTTACAAATCGAAGACATCTGTTGCTTCAGAACTTGATTTTCTGACTGCTTCTTGCCAAACCTCTATTCTAATGACTTGAACCTGGCCGCTAACCAGGGTGTGTGTGTTTGTATTTGCTGGCATGCGTGCGTTTCGTATGTGTGGAAAATAGTGTGTTGCTCGGTGGTATAATAATATATCATCAGTCCAGTGGCGTAACTATCGACGGTGCAGCCTCTGCAACGCACCGGGACCCAGAGCCAGCCAGGGGCCCATGCATTTACCAATGGCATTTATTGGTTCACACAGTCTTCAAAGTAACCAAGCAACCTAAATTAATTTGTAATTTGTCTGTCCAATGACCTTGCTCCCTTTCATGTCATGTGAACCGTTTAATCAACCTGTACTTTACTGTAGCTAGCAGCAGCAAGTTCAGTAGCATTATAAAAAAAGTAATAGCTTGCATTTATAATGTACAGCAAACCAAAGCAAAAGAGCAGTGCTAAAAAGAGAAAGGCCAAGAGAGAACAAGGAGATGTAACAGCTAAACTGACAAAATCAGACCTTTTTTTTTGTCATACATCGTCCTCGAAATCGAGCGCTAACGTTAACAATGTTGACGTGCAGCGGCAGCCGGAGGCTAACGATAGCTCACCTGCCTCACCACCATCATTGCCATGTAGCTCCACAAGTGAAGCTGTATCCGTGGCTGTGCAACCTTCCTCTCCAGCCAGCCAGGAGGAGAGGCTGGTCCAACAGTTCCCCCAAGGGCCCCAACCAATAGGGGACTCTATGGCGCTATTGAGACCCCCGACGCCAAGATCAAAAGCTATATTATAGCAACCGGTCCATGTAGGCCTACCAGCCCATTTCCCAGAGACAAACATCAAGGAAACAGGTTTAATCCTCTTCTTAGTTCGCTCTGCCGTTGTCAGGCTGTGGTGGTCTGAGGCCAGGGCTCTCGACTAACTTTTTTCCCCATCCTCCCGGAACTGTCCCGAAATTCAATCTGAGCCGTCCCGAAATTAATGTGGACCGTCCCGAATTTAAAATGTAACCACTAACCAGGATGACAGTCTGCAACACAGTCAGGAGACCTTTACAAACGGCCCGCCCCCTCGCACACAGACGGGAGAGAGAGATCTCGTCTGGATTGGAAAGCTCGAAAATACATCATAGACGCATGTTGTAGTCTTATTGCATATTAGAAACGGAGTTGGTGAAACTAAAACTGCGATATAATGTGTATGTAGCAATAATACATATGACATATTTTTTAAATGTCTCCAGTACCGATAAAAAGTCCGATAACGTCGGAGCTTAACGTTACCACTGTCTTTAATAATTCTGGCCCGTTTAATACCGGGGCTCGGTACCCATCCCTACATGGGGAGAGGCGCAGCATATTGCTAAGGACTAAATACGATGGAGAGTTCTCATCTTAGCCTTATTGCCCATAGGGGATGAAGAGGAGTGAGTAAATAAAGAGGCCGGCGCTCCAGGGTCTGGTTCTGCTGTGCGTTTTTGTGATGTAACGGTAAAACATTTCAGAATTCCTCCACGGGATGCCATTGTACATCACTCAACCCGCGGAATACACACACTCAGTAGGCTACATAGCTAGACCCGCGAATTTGCGGGCCAGGAATTCGCGGGCCAGGAATTCGTGGGCACAGCCAGCTGGGCGGCTGGCTGACAGCCAGCGGCCCAGCTGTAGCTACATGTGTGTGTATTTCGCGGGTTTCTAAATGTTTTGTGCGTGTGTGTTTACAAGGAGGTTTAATGTGCTACACAAAACGTGCAGTCGGTTTCATTTTCATCGCCGTTTGTAGTAGAGTTAGCAGGGTATTTTTATTTTAACTCTCGTCCCAAATTCGTCCCAAAATTATTTGTTATCCTCCCCGACACTATTTTTTTCGACCACGGGACGTCCTTAAGCTCGAGCCCTGTCTGAGGCCAGGGCAGGCTGTTGTTGATAGCCTATACATGTGGCGCTTCTGAGTGGTTGTGTATGTCTGTGCGTGTGTGAGCGCATCAGCGTGCGCTTATGTTTAGGGGGGGGGGGGACCCTGAACAGATCACAATCAATAACACAGCTATAAATCAATATGATTACACGATTACGCAGTGTGTCTGAGTGTCAGTGTCTTTCTCTGTGTCTGTGGATATGAGCTTGCAGCCAGTGTATTAGTGTCAAAAGAAAACTAATCCCTCTCAGGCCATGTCACATCTGTCACTCTATGCTTCTTCTTTTCTATCTTCTCTTCTTTCTAAGAATGAATTTGCCACATTTACTCATTCTGAAAGCTCACGCCTGTAATGTGCTATTCACATGTTATATGAGCTCATTGCTGATTTAGAGAATCTCATTCGTATTATGGAGAGTTTTACTGTTCTTACTTTATAAGAAAACAGTCAGAGTAGCCGGTGATCACATGATCTAGCTAGGAACATTTTGAAAAGCATTCAGTACAGCAGCTTTAGTTATAGCCAATATAGTGCATTTTTTGTAAAGATACTGACTTTTATCAAGCAATATAAATATAAATAATATAAAAAGGGGAAACTTTAAGTAGTGCAAAGTGTATCATTTATTTTCAGTGGACAGTCTAAACTGGCTAACAGTAAGTCTACTGTCTCAATGTCTGTCCACACCACACAGGGGAATTTTAATGACACTCTATTTGCCTTTTTGGAAACCGCACATACACACCTTACCTACTCACCACCAACAGCTGTGGTCGATTAGTTTTATAACCCTTTGACACAGGAAGCGGTGTGCAGATGGACTTGAGGCTTAAAGCAGAATGATGAGGATTAGTAGGTTGTGATTTTTAAACACAACATTCAAAGTCGGCCTACCTGTGCCCTGTACTACGAATCCAGTTCAACATACCTTGGATATGTTTGAGTTATCTGGCTTAACTAACCCAAAACAAACGCAATCTCGCTAAGCGGTCCTACGACGCTTGTTATCAACTCGGTAACTCAAGCCAGGGTTTCTCTGTCCGGCTGAGTGCACGTTCACATGAAAGGGGTGGGGTTAGCAACATTTGACCAATCACAAACATGGACAAGCGTACTGACAGCGCAGCGTCATACTTCCTGAGTGAAAAGTAAACTATAATATTAGACATATGAAGAACTTCAACTTTAAACATCCATGACTTAAACACTTTATCCAGGGTAAAAGCCACATAGCTGCACCTGCAAGGTGAATACAGCTGGCAACAGAACAAGTGTTTGAATGCGTACATTAACAGGTTTATGATATCACTGCCCCGTCTAAAACACGATCTGACTTTAATTACATTTGTCTTGAGTGTTTCCTCAACTTAATGTGTTGCTTAAAATAATACTTCTGCATACAGTATGTGACACTGTGAGTGTTGCACGGCCAGATACGGCTCAGCTGACTCAGATAAGGAAATATATGATACATTATGATGTGATATGATATGAATGATAATGGGACACATCAACGTCTGCACTCACAGTGACTGTACGTAATGTTACTATGATCCGGTTACTTATGTTAACTTGTGGCAGATATTTAAGTTTAACGCTAATTTTATAATAGTCAGATTGCTCTAAAGATGGGAGGTGATATTCTATTAATGTTCACGTTTGCACCAGGCTTGGATTTTCTTCATTTTAGGAGCAAAGCCATTTGGCCTTTGGTGTTACACATTTTTTCAGCGCGCAAAGGCCACATGCCAGGGCACAAAGGCCATTGACGAAACAATTAGGATTTGGAGCTTACAAATAAATAACTTCACTTTCTAATGACAAAAAACAAATCACTTTTTTAATATCAATAATCGTATCATCATATAGGCCTATGCCTCCTTAGTATTACCGTATATAAAATGAAATACTTTACTTTGAATAATTAGTGTTTGGTATGTTTTCCATCTACTACTACTCCCATTCACAAATCAAAAATGAAATCTAAAAATCAAAAATTCTATTAATATGTAACAAATATATTCCATTTCAGAGCAGAAGAAACAGCCTTCAAGGGTCAAACTCTGCACATACATCATTCAGCAGTGCACAGTGAAGCTCCAACATCCAACTGTATGAACAAGCAATACTTTGAAATGCAAAAGTGTGTGTGTGTGTGTGTGTGTGTCTTAATCAACTCCTCACAGCTCCTCATATCTGTTCAGAAACTAGACAAAAGTTAAACAAGTACAAACCACAGACTGTCTC